GTAGCACGAATGTCCCATGAATCTTTTCTAACAGAAGGGTACAGTATAATTAATGATGATATTTAGCTATTTTACAGGAATTACATATATAAAAACGTTTTTAGATAATTATTGAAAAAATTCATTGGATTTTTAATCAATCACCTTAAAATGTTTTTCAGGCAAGCGTGCTTATTAAGATTATTTAATTTTCGAATTACTGTAAATTTATTTCTAGTGCATTGCTAACATAAATTAAAAGGAACTATTTACAAATAGGGTGTTTAAATATTTTAAATACTTCAGAAAGAATTATTTGTCATAGATGAAGTTAGGTATGAACAGTTCTTCCGGAGGATGTCAGTCATTTCCATTAAAAGGGGTTAAAAATGGCTGAACACATTTCTTTGAACATGCATAGTCTACTAGAATAATATTCATTACTTGCAGTATTGTTTATAAAAAAATACAAAATGTTTCTAAGAATCTTCAAGGATTGTGAGAGATATTTATTTTGGCATAAATATTATATATACATATATATATATATTATAATAAAGTAAAAATGCTAAATTTAATCATTGACGAAATAAGTCTTTTAGAATTTATTCAATGTCTTTACTTACATGACAAGCATTTTATATCTATGTTTTCATAACAATTCCCAAATTTTCAGAACTTAATATTAGGAAATGTATAAATTACATATTCATTTAAACTGTGAAAATATGCACAAACAAAATATACGAGTATAAACTTATAAAACAAAAATATACTATTTCATCTTTAGCTCAGTGTTATTCATTTAATTCCAAACTCCAAAAATATAGGAATAAGTGTCAACGTGAATTAAAAACGCATTTTCCTTTTTTTCATCAATTTTACGACACGCTCTTTAAATTCTCAGGAAAAAGATATAACGTAAAATTCTGAAACGCTTAATATATCTTAAGCGTTATTTTATGCAAAATTAGAAATGCTATAAAACTTCCTACTTCTGCAGTAAAGTAAGATCAACTCGAGTTTACAAAGTGTCTAATTTATTGAAGTCCGTAAAGCTGTCTGTAGACCAAAACGTGATCATTAAAAAGAAACTATGTCATAAAGATATAAATAAAAGAAAATCCAAAATTTTCATTTTTAAAGTGAATAATAGTTAATTAAACATGTAATTTGCTTCAAGTCAATTAAAATTTAAAATAAGGTGAAAATTGTATGATTTTTTAAAATGAGTGCTACTGATCACAGATTGATTAAAGATATGAATTGACGCCTGTATACGTCATGAGAAAAATCTAAAGCAACTTTAAACACGTCTAATTTTAAACACGAAGAATAGCTCGCTACTTCAAGTATTCCAATTAATACACAGCATGTCTCGTGTTCATCCGATTTCATCAAGAATTTTAATTTATGAAAAAGAAATGTGGCTTTAAAGCAAAAGTATTTTAAAAGAGCTGTAAACAGTTTAAGTCTAATAACAACTACTTACATTTTCCTAATATGGCTGGTACCCAATTTAGTAAAACTGCAATGATGCTAGTAAAGAAAGCAAAGCAAAGAGGATGACGCTTCTTCATTTTACGTGCAATCTTTTGAACCTACAAAGAGAAACTTGAGTAAAATGCATAACAAACATCTTTGAAAATGAAAGGAAAACATAACTGATGAATTCAACTTACGTTAAATTCAAGCTTGAAAACGCAAAGCGTCTTCAGGTTCACTCAGAATGCTTGATGATGCCAAGATAGAGAATGCATGTTTGCATGTTCGGTATCATGTACAGGAAACTAGCGCCACATAGCGGATAAAAAAGGAATTAAACAAAAATAATATTTTATAATAATGTGACGTTTGCTCCTGCGTAGAAAATTACTCTTCAGAAAACTTCACGTGAATTCCTTTTGTATCAAATTAAGAATTTATTTGGAGTAATAATTAATTTTTGTGACTACATTGATATTTAATTTTATTTATGTTACATTAACACGTAACTTGGAAGTATAAGAATCCTTAGAGTCTCGCAAACTATGCGTTACAGCAAAATGATCGTAAACAAGCTGTAGATGGCCTAGTCGTTTACAGCTTTTAATAATGTATAGTTTCAAAGCAACTATGCCGTAAAATATTTGTAGATATTTGAACAGCATAAATAAATCACTTGTATACAGGAATGATATGCGCAAGAAAGCAAAATTCAATAAAAGAACACTGAATTTCTGGTATGTGCACGTTTTTGGAGTGAAAGGCTATACTTCATCCTGAAGGATTTAAGTTTTATAGAGACTTTTGGAAAGGACATGATTATTTATACATTCGTTTAATTACTTTAACCTTGAGATGCAAAATAATGTACAGAATGTTGAAATGATACTCTCATAACTATTCACAAATCTGGTTTCAGTTTTTGGACAATCCAATTTACCTTTCAAATTCAGCAAATCTGAATATTCACTGGTGCCAAAAGCATTGGATACTCGGCAAGTGTAATTTCCATTACTGTCGTGTCCAAGTTTCGCAATTGTAAGACTAGATGAAAAGTCATCCACTTTGCGAATTGATATTTCAGCGTTTTCTTGTACTTGGATTCCATCTTTCAGCCATGAAAATGAAAATGGCGGTTTTCCATCGAAAACTGCACACATAACAGAAGCTCTCATACCTGTCTTGATTCCATGGGGAAAATGGAATGTTCCTACTTCAGGTTTTTGCGAATCTGCAGCAGAAGGAATAAAGTAAGTGAACATTTTATAATACTAGATTAAATATGACAGAAAGGAAAATTATATATGACATAATTTGTACCAGAGAGATAAGAAATAGTTTGGAGTTTCATCTGTGTTACCTTTGTAAACAAAGTAAAAAATATTGTAGCTTTATTCAGTAAATGATTATTCTCTAAACTTCGATAAAAGCGTTTTAGGAAGCTTCAATAAAAAAAAAACAAATATGTAAATTCATTCAATAAAAGTAAAATATTGTTCTGATAATATTTGTAGTTGATGACTATTAACACTATTAGTAATTTTCTAAAATTAGATCATTCAGATGTTCAAACATAGTTAAATATTTTATTAAGTAATAATAAGAGTTGCATATTTGCTATTTGTGCATACCGATAATTTTTGTCCCCCAGAATTTAATGTTCCGAGTTTAGCACTTTATTCGCAGACTGAAAACTCAGATAAAATATTTAAAATAGCATAGGAAGTTCTGTTGCAAGCAAAAGCCAAATTTACTTCATCAAATGCTTTACTAACTGACATGTCGTCATACAACAAATGCAAACGGAATTTTAGTATCCTTATTTAGAAAATGTAGTTTTCATTTTAGCTATTTCATTAAGTTGCGTCAGCACCGAATAAACAAACTAGTAAAATAAAGATCTAGGGACTGTAAGTCGGATGGACTGGTTTCAGTATAGAAATCAATAAATAAAAATTAACAAAATTGATAATATTAATAAAATTTAAAAGTATAATAAATATTAATAATAGAATGTATGTTCTTGTTTTGAAATAATACAAATAAATGTCAGCATAATAATTGGTACAGCAATAAAATCGTATGTGGCGATAGATGCACAGGGTGCAGGAGCTACGCGCTAACTTCAGATATGCATACAAGACATGTATGTTTCACTCTTTACTGTTCGTCCGCTCGCAACTACATTAACTATTGTGACGAGTAATGTAAATATCTTTTCATTTATTCTACAATTTATTTATTTTTAATCATAATTACGCAAGATACCAAATATGAGCTATCAAACTAAGTCAGAACATCAATAAAAGAAATGAAAAGCAGAAAAAAAAAGACGAAAAAAAGTTAAAACAATGAGATATTAGATTACTTAAGTATTTTGCAAAAATGAGTATAGACATCTCAGCATGAATAAATCAGATTATATATATGTACAACAATAACAGTACACAATTAATCTGTTGTTATATATGTGAACGTTTTACTTCTATTAAGACATAATTTGCAGACATGCAGTTGCTGTCTATAAAAGCAACCCGAAATGCATATAGTTAAAACTGTCTATGTTTATTACTCTCAAGATAATTACAAAATCCTTCTACTCAAAGTGAAGTAAACACATTGAGAAAAAATAAGCAAATTGCAATTTTTTCTGTTGATTATTATCCGCTGTCAAAAACTTAATATTTTATTTAAATTTCAATAAAATATCATATTTGTCTGCTTGGAAAATAAATTTATTTCATAAAAATTCAAATAACTAAAATAAATTAAATTTTACATTTCTAAAATATTTTTCACGTAATAGCAGATATTACTTAAGGCAAACAATTAATAATGTAATCAAGTGTATATTTTAGGATTTGAAGAAATCTGCGGTATTATAACAGCATCGTGAAACAAAACTATTCCAGTTTGAATAACTCTCTGACGTTCTACACCCTACTGCAACTAGTTTTCTCTGCATAGCATACTAAACAAAGGAAAATGCTGTAGAGTAAATTTAGGCGAAACATATTCTACAATTTCATTACGCAATGTAAAATTTAAATTAGAATGATTAGGCCAACCAGTTCAATATTTTCACCTATTTCATACCATAATTTACTTACAGTGTGTAATTAAAAAGTGAATGAGAACAGGAAGAAAATTTTTTAAAATTTTATAACAGCAATAATCATTGTGTAAAGGCAGAAACTAATTGAACACTTAATTTTCAATTATTTATAATGAGGATAAATATTTAGATTTTTTTCTATTTATAAAATTTTAATTAACAGAAAATTTTTGGCAATTTATCTTTTAATCTAATGCTTGAAACCATTATCACAAACTCCGCAAACAAGACTTGCACTAGCATAATAATATCTATATTTTTCATTGTTTTACTGTACAGCGAATTATAATTTTAGGTCGTTTTTTGATAAAAAATAGTGTAAATTCTAAACCTTTAAATACAAAATATAAACAAAATTTCTAACGTTTAATATTAACATCACCTACCTGAGAGATGAATGCAAAACATTAGAATGATTATACTAAACATTTGCAGCATCATGGGTGAAGGGGTGTTTAACATTTTTTCCTAAACAGAAAATAACATCCTATATCAATATTACAGAATGCTCGAGTTTTAAATAAAATAAACAAGCGACTGCAATTATTAGATAAGTATTATTTGAATAATTACCTTTATGCGTACTTATATGCAGGAAATGCTTATCCAATGTAGATGCATGTCGTGCTGCAGACGCTACTCCAACAACAGGAATACTTCTGTGTTGTATACTAGCGCCACATAGTGTCTTGGAAAAGAATTACACATGGAAAAGTCGTTAGTTAAGTTTGAAAGTTTTTAAAGCTTATAATACGGTATTCTGCATCTTCGTATTTTCGTCACTTTGAATATTCTGACGTTGTGGAATATCTTGAAAATGTTTTCCCAATTTTGAAACAAACGTACGCAGCTGCGTCTAATCCCATAGTAATAACAACAATGAGGGAACCATAATATTATTGGCTCAGAAAGCATTAAATTTAGACTGAAAAATTTGAAACCGATTCTCATATAGGCGGCTGCGTTACAAATTTAGTTTTACTTAAAATCACATTGAATTTCTCTTACCCTTTCCTTGACAAACAAATGGGTAAATGCAAACATTATACAAATGGAAAATGAATGCTAAAGCAGTCTATAATAAATAGCAAAAATTAAAATATATTTAGCGATAATTAAAAAAGAACATAGCGCATTTCATTTGCAGGTTTTCTCGTATTAAAAAGTAATACAAGTAACTTTTATACCCAAATCCAAACCGAAAACAAAGACTTAAGTGTTTTTATTAATAAATTATCTGATACGAATAATGAATTTAGACACTTAATATAACAGTATACAAAGCATAGCACATATAGTTGTAACAATACTTAATTATTATTATTTTATATTTTCCCACTTGTATTACTTGTTAATTATTATTAATAACACATTTAGAAGAAAACAATAGGAAAAACAATAAAGATTTAAGTCAGGTGATTTCAATTTCTGACAAAAGAAATGACATAACATTTAAAAAAGAATTCTTATAAAATATATTTCGCGGTACTTTGCTGAGAGAATGTGAAACTAATAATTTTATTCCTAACCGCAAATGAATGGGTAGATTGCCTATTTATAAAGCACTGAAATAATGTTTATGTTAAAGCAATTTAAAACTGAAAGCATGTTTGAAAATAAGATAAAATTGTAATGTTCTTTTAAAAAAATCATTTGGATATCAAAAATAAAATAATGACCGTATCAAATCTTAGAAGACAGAAGATTTGTTCGCACATCAAGATTAGTTGACACTTTCGTAATATATAAAATGCAGTTTGTACGTCTGGATTTATGTTTCAGCAGGAAAGATATTTAATAATGATTGATACGATTTAAAATTTCGCAAACGTTCACCTTTTTCTTCTTATCCGCTAAGATTTCAACTAAAAATTTATGTAACATACATTTTTAACAATTTATTTAGGTAACAGTGGATGCATATTGGTAATAACACATTCTACTTATGAAAATTGTTTCTTCATTTTAAATTGGTGGAAGTGATCCAGTGTGAAAAGTGATTGATTCATACCTTTCATAGTTAATAAATCAGATTGTTGAGCTTCTCCAGCACCGTTAGTCACATGACAAGTGTAATTTCCATTGTCTTCAGGACTGAGTTTAGTAAATGCCAGGTTTGAATTGAACTCGTCTAATCTCCGGAGTGCTAACCTGTCGCTTTCTGAGAGTGGCGTGCCATCTTTTAGCCACCGGAAAGTGAAAGGCGGATCTCCATCTATCACCGAGCAGGTAACAGAGACCCTCTTGCCTGGTTTCAAGCCACCAGAGAAATGGAATGGCTTTATCTCTGGTCTCAAAATTCCTGAAAATAAGTTATAGTTTATTAGTTTGTGGAAATGGGATCAAAAATAACACTACAGTAATAATGTTATTATAACGTAAAGGAAGTTGCATATAGTATAAAAATTGTACCATAATATAGCCTTTTCCTTCTTTCAAAAGCGTTAAAGAAGTAAGGATTAAGTATGCAAAAGTAAATTTTGAGTTACCCAATGAGCAAACTGAAAATGAAATATTAAAAGGAGATGAAAATAACGCTCAAAATTAGCTTAAATGTTAGGTCTTTACCACACCGGGAACAGTAATCATATAAAACAAATCTCTGCTTCAAATTTAACAAAGAAATCCGTAATGTTTGTTTATCTTAAAGTAGCAGTTCTTGCACCTTTTCGGATTTTGACTTTTTTGCCTTAACGCTTTTAAAAACTCAGTATTTACTGTTGTATATTTTCAGCAATGCCTAAAAAAATTTTCATTTAGCTTTGCAAAAGCTCACAACGCGTTCTTAGAACTTTAGCGTCTTTCCTTTTTTTTCTCCCCAAAATGTCTGAGAAATATCAATAGCTTCCCAGCACGCGTCATTAAAAAAAAAATAAATCAACGTACCTTAAGAAAACCAAAATTTACGAAATATTTTCCCCCACTAGCTAGTTCAGAGGAAGCACATGCACACAACCTATTTCAGCGGGTTTCTGACTATGCTTAAGTAACACAGTCCGTCATAAGAATCATGTTTAATGAAAATTCTGATAAAAAAATTTTAAATGCTACAACTTACCCCTGTTACAACTAGCTCATAGCTACCGTATACGTAAATGTATGCCTTTATTTTTCAATAACTAAATTATCTTGCAATAAATGTAACTGATAACTTGCAGTATATCTTGTAACAACTGTAAGGCAAACTCATTTCTCAAGGGGATTCGACTATTTTCACACAGTGTCGATCACTAAGAGATTGACCACTGACTTAGATAAATAAATGACTTATAAACTTTATGTTTACTGTGTATCAGCTATTATATATTTCAACAACTTTCATTTCCTGTGTATAGGAACTTTTAATTCAGATTTACTATTTTATTTCGTACATTGTATTTTGGATTTTTTTCTTTCTTCTTAGTGTCTTATTATTTTTAAATTAGAATTTTTACCATATGAAGCCAATTTTGATTATAATCCGGTAGCTTCATTTATAGAAAACTCTTGTAAATTAATACTTATTCTTAGCTTTAACTGTGTCTATATATTTTAAACATTTTTAATCACTTTTGATTTTAAAACATTATTGGTTTTTTAAATAAGTATTTAAAATACTCAGTTTTTAAAGTGTAAGATGATTTAAAAGAAGTTCCTGATTTCTTCCAGTGTTAATCTTTTTTTTTTATGAATAAGAAAGCTTAGTAATTTATTAAATAATAGTTTATACAAATACTCAATAAGGAAAAGCTATACCTATCTTTATTTGAGATACTCAAAAAAATCGCAAATAAATTATATGAACTGAACTGATCTGAGAATGTTTAAGAAGTTTGGTTCAAAGTATAGAAAAATTATATTTTTGACTACCATTTACAATTTTCTTTCTTTTATATTAAAATGGGATCATTATATATAAAAACGGCTAAAGGAGATTTATGTGCATAGATGCTACTTTGTTCGTTAATCTATAGGAGTTTTATACAAGAAAAACAATGAATTATCTATGCAGTAAAGAAAAAACAATGTAGAAAAGGAATATTTATTAATCTAAAACTCTTTGAGAGATCCAAATATATTGACAAATCAAATTTATTCCAACTTGGCTAGCTTAATTTCCGAAAGCTTAGGTTTAATCTTCTATTGTTAAATCAACTTTCTTGAAAACTGAGAATTTCTTTTGAAGAAATGACTTCTTTTTAGAAGCAGTAAATGAAAATATATTATTGACCTGAATGTAAGATGACCTCATGTATATGATGACTCTACATTTTAAGGTGTTTTACAACAAAAAATGTTACTCAGCATTAAATGTTTTCGCATATATTAGATTCGTGTGATTGAAGTATTCGATGATAAGGATAATTAAACGATCCAAATGTTACATTTTCATTTTAAACTAAGTAAAATGTTTCCTTTTAACGTAAAAAAGAGGTAATTGATAAATAATTTAGCATGTTTTTCAATGCCTGTTCATATACAATGAGTACGATTTTCATAAATAAATGTATTTTATGGAGAAAAATGCAACTTGCATTTAGGCCAGCATAGTACAATTAGTATAGTTTATAAATGAGCAATAAATTTGATTCTAAGGTTCCTATAACTTCATTTTGAAAAATATTAATTTGTTGAAATGTATAAAACAATACGCTTTGCTCCTCGAATTGCACTATAATGCAAAGCAGACAACCATGTAATGAAGTTGAAACAACACAAATGGCTTCTGTTCCGAATGCGAAAACACTAAATAAGGTTCAGTAATAAAATCTCTGGGTAACCTTTCATTAAATTACGTTATCTTACCGAAACAAGATTTATAGAATTTAGAATTTTAATTGAAACATTTTCTTTGATTAGCTACATAAAGCAAAGGACAAGAAGGCTAGATCTGGGAATACAATTCTCTTTCAAATTGAGTCGATATAATATAATCAAAATGTGTAACAGCAAAAGACTAAATTTTCTTAATGCTTCACATTCATATGCCTTTATATAAACAAATTCATACTGACCTGCCGAAAACTTTACAACTTTAATAATTATTGTTGTACATAAAATGATGTGGACAGCCATAGAGAACCACACTCTAATCTAAAGCTTCTCTTTTATCTGTAAAAGCAGAAGGAAATTCTAGAAATAACATCAGCATTTGCAGGATAAAGTATAGTCACAAATATTATTAAAAAAATTGTCAACTTACTTCTTGCCTTTCAGCTCTCTTTGCCAACACACTTTCATTTATATTTCTCTTGAGGCAGCGTCTGCGAGCAAAATAATCTCAATGCCATGTACAGGAAACTAGCGCCACACAGTGCATAAAATTGAAATGAAAACTTATCGATATAAATCTTAATTATTATAATGCAATACTCCACTTCATCGAAGGCTAACAACCTAAACTGAATTTCGGATTCCACAAGCATAATAAAAAAGAAATTCAATGTCTTACCTACTTACACCCTTATTTTGATTCAATCGCGTTGGAGTTTGTTGAAGAAAAACTTCTGCTATTCTACCAAATTTAAAAAATTTATATAAGAATAAATTGTTATTAATAAAGAGACAAATGTCCAGTAAAATGACTGAATTAAGTTACAAACATCGAAAAAGTTGATAAATGCAGAATACATAAAACATCATTTCTGCTGTTGTGGTTCATTAGAATAGCCTCAGCTCTAATTTATACACAGAATTGACTTGCGTTTATGTTGTCATCGTGTTTAAGTCTTTAACTTCAGAGAATGGACTCATTTCTGTATACCTACGATTTTCGTACTTCTTATTAAGTTTGATTAAACGCAATCATTATTTTCTTGATTTAGTTAGCAAATTCTGCCATTTGTTACAATGTATATGTATAAAGACCCAGAGATAAACCAGAGTATCCAAATTAAAACCAAAAGCAAAAATAAGTGATTTTTCTCTTAAGAAATGTAATTTTTACGTGCAACAGAAATACTCTTGTACAGTAGAATAAGTATTTATTATCCAGAGTAATCTTACCGAACGCTGATCCCACGGTTATTCGCATTGATCACGATAGTATTTAAGGATCCGTTGGCAACAGATGTGAGAACAACTCAGCTCTTATAACTTCTGTTGAATTTTACTGTAGCTTTAAAAATCAGACTTGAAATAGCCTAACTCTAAGTCAATCTTTATCAGCAACACGTTTCACAAACATCGCCAAAGCAAGCTAAGAAGATGAAGTACGCATACCAATCGAAGATGGAATGGAATCAAAGTAGCACACCAGTTAGAATCAATTATGAATGTGAAGATTTCTGAGGTTTTAGCGTAAAAAATAAAGCAATATATTATAAATATCAATAAGTGTGTAATGTTTTTAAAGAGCTTTATCTTTAATTTCTTATCTAAGAAACTTCTGAGCAAATAAAAATCTTTCCACCACACAACAAATTTTTTCAGGAGGAAATAGAGTGAATATTTTTCAAGAGCTCGGTTACTGGATGGCTAGGTAATCTCTTGTATTTCGATTCCGTTTGATTCAGCTATTCATATTCGGTAACTTTCTAAATATGTTATTAAGGGGTGAGGAGTTTTGGAAAGAGTGGAAAAATTTTTGATTGAATATTTTATCCAAAGTGTACAACTACACGCTACTTGAATCGTCCGTGGCATGTTTTAGTGGTCCTTAGTATCGCATAAGTATCTATTGTCCATGCTGTTTTACAAACTTGTCGACGAAATATTCGTCTTAGAGAAACTACACAATGATTAAATACATACTTTTGCATTTAACAAGAATTTTCCGTGTTATTCTAGTTTAAAATTTGAAGACTTTATTCTCTGCTCGCTAAAGTTTTGAAAGGAATTCCTTTCAAAATTGTACAATTAGATTTTCGGGGGAAACATTCTGTTGCCGGGCATGTTGTTTTTTCATGTAAACATCACTACTGCTACGTTCTCTGCTTTAATCAACAGTTGCATTTTTTCTACTATTGATCATTAGTCATATTTTCGCTACTAAGGCAGAAATTTTGATGCAACAAAATGTATACGCTACCGAGATATCTGTTAAATAATTTTACAGTTCAAAATCCAGTGGTATATAATATTTCTCAATAACGTTGAATCTTAGATTATTACGAGTGATATTTTCATTTATCTTTGTTTTTTTAATTATTTTGCTCATAAGTGTATTTCAGAGGCATTTACTAGAAAATAGAAAAACATCTACATTTCGATGCAGAAAGTGATACTTCGAAACATTTCTAAATTAATGTTAAATTTACTAACATCATATTGATTAAAATTTAAATTGAAGGCTAATGACGACAAGATCGTACTCAGTAGTAATAAATAAAAATAAAAATGTAGTACGAGTACAATAATCACACCGAAAATATCCGTAAATGTTACTGAAATATGGACCAAATTAATGATCAGCATTCAAGTGCATTAAGATTCAGCATTTAGGCAAAAAAAAAGTTAATACGAGTGAATACGTTTATTATTTGTTCAATTACATAATACAAAAATTAATATTAGCATACTTGTCCTTCTTTCAGAAGTATGCCTCATTACGTTTCGATGTCGCTGCTAAAGGCAGGAGCTTCCACGGCGTATAATTTCTGTTGCTAAAAATTGTTAATATGAAAAATCGTTAAAACAGTTTTAAAAATTCAGTTGCGTTGTTAGCGTATTTTTTCAACATTTCACAGGAAAACAGTCTTTCATTCCTTTAAAGCTTAGCGATCTCTTAGAAGATCTTGAAATAATTTGCAACAATTTCGCATGTATAAATATATAAATTGAGAGTTTTATATAATTTATTAATCAGAATAGTACTTAAAAATATGAAAATTTTGTTAAATGGGTATATACATTATATTCTTATTTACCTTTCATTAGAAGTACATCAGTCTGTTCATCCTTTCCAGCTGCATTAGTCACTTTACAAGTGTAGTTTCCGTTACTGTTCTGATCCAGCTTAGTAATGGCTAAAGTTGAAGTGTATTCGTCGACGATTTTTATTGCTAATCCTACATTTTCGCTGATTTTTGTCTCATCTTTTATCCATTCGAAAGTGAATGGAGGATCTCCTTCGACAATAGTACACATGACAGCTGTTCTGGCTCCAGGCCGAACATCATTCGTGAAATGGAAAGGTTTAATCTTCGGTCTTCTCAAACCTGAAAAAAGAAAAAAAATACTAAGTATTTCAGTAACCTTTTAGAACTATTAACTTAAAATCATTGGTAGATGATAAGAACGCGTGGTAATTAGCTACATTTGGAAAAAAACATCTAACAGAAATTCCTGCTTATTTTTATTATAAGTGGACCGGGTCTTTACCTGCCCCCCCCCTTCCTCGAATCAACCCCGTTCTGTAATGGCACTAACTGGCTCGAAGTTCAAAATCCAATGATATATCCATTCGGCTAACGACAGACTTTGCGGCAAAGTTAAACTAATTATTTACCAATAATAACACCTTAATTGACGTTATACATATAAATAAAAAACAAAGTATGCGGTGAATTTTCTCTTTATATTTTACTATAACGGCAGAAACACTTTTTACTTAAAACGCATATAAATCAACGAATATAGGGAATTTAAATCTGTTCTTCTGCCTGCGATAGAAGCTTTATATTTAAAAAATTTTTAAACACATAAGATAGTAACTACATAAACTTAAATACTTAGCTAATTTTTATTAAAATTTAAGTTATTTTACTCTCAACAAGTACTAGAATTTCAAGACTTAAGCATGAACAAACTTTTTTACCATCGTGCGTATTAATGAATGTGGATGGATGTATTAATTCCGGAAAAGCAAGAGAAAGCTACTTGCATTAAAAGATATTTTAGGTAGGTTTTTTGTTAGTGGAAATAGCTCATGTTTATACTTCTGGCATATGGTATAAAACTGGCAATGATTAATACAAATTGAAGGATAAAATATAATTTCTTCCTCGCAATTTAAATATTGCTATCTGTTTAATTCTGAAATTTATTAAGCGCAGTGATTAGAATACTTGATTTTACAAAGAATAATACCCAACAGCAAAAGAAAATTTGCGGTTTATTAGTTGTGTTTTATTTTCTTCCGTAATCTTGGCTATTCTCTCAACAAACGACCCGTTTTCCAAATGTGTGCAAACCATGTTGAGAGAAACAGCTTAAAAAGCAGTTTGCAGTAATAGTGCAAAACAGCTTCTAAAACAGAAATAAAAAAAATTGTGTCTGCCAATTATGAATTAAATTATTAATTGACAATTTTCACTACACTACATCGCTACAACTAAACATTTTGTGACACTGTTGTAAGTACAGTGAAATCTCTTTGAGACGACTACCCATTTTGAGGTGATTTTGTATTCTGCTGAGGTGGCTGTCTTAGTGAACATGACTAAGTAATGAAATATTATTCAATGCAGTTATTCGTACTCTTCTGTTATCGGGACCAGATTCAGAAATGTATGTATGTATGCACATGTGGATGGATGTATGTGCATATATACATGCATATACGCATGCACATACACAGATACGTACTTATATATATATATCATACATACATACATTTCTGAATGCGGTCACGATAACAGAAGAGTACCTAAGTATTTAAATACTCTGTCAGAAATTCTGGTCTTTTTCTGGTCAGGCATAGTCGCAAGGAATGCTTTATGTGCATTTTAATATTCCCACGGTTTGCTTTTTATGCACGTATTAATTAGTGCCTTTTTGTGTTTAATTATAACTTAAGTTCTACGGAGACACCAAACAGAGTGAAGATTTCATTATAGTAAAGAAGAGAATAGAAGAGAAAATATATTTTGCAGTAATATATTTTTTTCTCATTTAATTTTAATAATGTTTTATAAAAATTATCTCGCGAAGTATCACATTTTTAGAAACCTGACAAATATTTCTGAAAGATTACAATTAACAAAAGAGTTTCAAATAAAGGTTATTAGACATGAATATTTTATTTTTTTATTCAATATTTTGATACGTTTGTAACACTGTATACACCTTTGTCGTTGATTAAGAAAAACATTTTATTTACGAAGTGAATCGTTTAAATAAGTCGATGCATACGGAAGAAAAAAAGAAAAAGGTAAATAAAGTGAAGATTTTCTTTTCAGTTTTTTTCGTGGTAGCTTTATAACATCAATAATTCCTCTTTTAAAACTAATTTATTTGGAGAATGTATGCAAAGAATTACCTAACAAGTTAACAATTATATAAACATTCTATTATGAATAACCTATTATTTACTGTTCTGTAATACCTATTCTGAAACTCATGTTTCCCTTTATAAAATATACTATACTACTCTTACCTGTTCCTCCGCTAGATGATAGAGTAAGCCATACAAGAATTAAACCAATGTACGAAAAAATCAACATCTTTTCTATTTTCTGAACTCTAAATGCAGCTCAAAAACTGAAATCTTTCCTGCAGTTTATGACTAAGCTTCAGGGTTTTGCTTTATGAGAACACTACTAAAATTAAATGAAAGTATCTGCGGCAATCTTGTTTCCATTCACATAGGTTTCCTCAGTGACACTCAAAGCAGTTCAGTAGACGCTGTATCCTTTTCACTTAACAACACACCATGTTCAGTATACTAGCGCCACACAGTGTCATGAAATACAATTAATAGTATGTGTTTAGATAAATAATTTCTGAGCAACTCAGTTTAAAAAACGATCAGGTAGAAATACATAGCATTTTTAATAGAATTCTTTGTAGTACTTCAGCACAGAAGGAATTTCAAACCTATCGTTCTGAAATATGCCAGTAATACATTAAAAATTGTAGCGTAAAAAATATTATTTGAAGTAGTGGAATAAAACTGCATAACCTCTGGAGTTGTGCACAATGCATCTACAAAGTTTAGGACCAGTTTTTCTTTAAACAAATTCCAACAAATCTGTCAAACGACAGTTGACACCATTTATTACTATGACAGCTTAACTTGCTGTTTCTGAAACTTCGTCTGATTTTGGGATACAGTATTTTATGTAGTTAATTATTTGCTTTGACATACCGCAAAGCATCTGTAATGGATTTGATAGTTCAGCAAAGACTAGCAATAAGATTTCAGAGCAAAACGGAAAAAATAGCAAATGAAACATTTGAAATGCTGCTCAAAGCAGAACAAGCTACAATGTTTTTCGTTGGTAGAGACGATTTTGTGATTTATGAAAAGATGCTGATGATGAATGCAAGTGTGGTCGACTTTGCAATCTCGAAGGAAAAGAAGTTCGATAATGGTTTTCTAAAAAAATCGTCACCTGTCTCTTCACATGATAGTTTATGAGCTCTGTCGAAACATAGCTAACAAAATTGTTTTAGAAGATCTTGCAGACAGAAAGTTCTTTCTCGTTTCGTACCTCGGGTACTGACTTCAAAATAGACAGAAGAACGAATTTCGGCAAGTAGGGATTGGATCCGCATAACGGACATTGAGCCTGATTTTCTCTCAAATATATCGTGTTTGGAGATGAGCTTGATGCTTTGCTTATGATCCTGATAAAACAGCAATCCTGTGCTCGGTTAGGGAACATTTCACAGAAACTTCGGTATCGAAAATAACTGTTCGGAAAAGGATATAATTCATTGGGAATTTATTTTTGAGGGACATATGGTGAATTCTGTATTTTGTAAAGACATAATGGACAAATTTTTGAAGAGATTCAGTGCGTTTTGCTGTAAAATTCGACTAAATGACAGGTTTCTGCTACATGGTAATGCATGCTTACACAGTTCTATTTTCGTTAAACTGTTGCTAGCAAAGAAAAGTTTCACAATTTTCAACTACCGTTCTTATTCACAAGAATTGTCACTTAAAAATTCTTTTCGCTTCTTTAAAGTGAAGTTTATCCTCATAGCTCATTATTTTAATGGCACTGAACAGATTCACAATAACTTGGGATCAAAATAGCATTCCAAACAATGAGTATCTCAAAGCAATCAAGCAGCTGTGTGAAAGTGTCAATCTCTGTATAAACATACAAGAATTGTATCTTGAAGGCAAAGGTGTAAGAATGCTGTTTTACCGAACTTAAAACTGTTTATGTGCGCTGTGTAAAACTTAAACTAAAAGGTTATTCATGTATAATAACAAACATTAATCGTAGAAAAAATAGTGATTTTAATCACGCAGAAGACCACTTGTCGATAATGTAAACTTAAGGTAAGAAGTGGGTACTAAATACAGCATGAAAAGGGGAGAAACGATTGTATATGGTATAATACCTTTGATTAATGGAGCGAAAAACGGTGTTTCCCCAGACTTGCTTGCTCTCTTACAAACTGTTTTCCAACAGAGAAAACGCAAAAATATTTTAAAATCTAACAGATGACAAAGTCCATTAGGAAAAACAGCAAACATGAATGCAAAATTAAATTATTTCAACGGGAAAAATGGAAATATCCATGCTTTAAGTAAGAATACATGTGTTGCAAAAACGACCAAAATGTTGAACAAACAAAAGTCATAGCATCGCTTCCGGGGAGAAGAATATTACCAGACAATCTTTGAAAAGAGCGTTTATGAAAGATTATGACGAATGGCATTTGTAAAAAAGAAAAATTTCGTATTTTTAGAAGAAAAAAAATTGATTTGCTGTATATTTGACTTCCTGTAAACAAGATATGGCCTCTAGCTTTGAGTTCCTGAAGGTACTAAAATGAACGTGATTGGTTGGCTCGAAACCTTAGCCTTAGTTCGTCTAAACTTCCATGGAATCAGCCTAAGTACCGCATGTTCGCAATCAATTTCCAAATGCCAGCGATTTGCTGGATTATAGGTCAGTTTACTTAGGCAAAATTTACGAATATTTACGTAATAAATATATAAACACTGAATGTTTATACAGAAGATATTTAAAAAGAGAAAATTAGCATTGAAATCTTAGCCGAAAAAACTGCTATGCGATTGTTCACATAATGAAAATAAAGCCAAAGAATATTTCTTTAAGGAATTTTTCCAGATATAGTGGGATACGCATATTGTGATTATATTAGTGTAGAACAGAATTATTCATATAGGCCACAAGCCATATTTTGACATACTAAGTATTTTAATGCGACACGCATATTATTGGTTGTAGTTAAAAAACTTACATTTTTAAGATTAAAAAAAATTTCAAAAAAGTAAAATCTTAGATTCCCTTCCAAAAAAAAAGAAGCAAGGAAACAGAATTATCTACTCTATTATTTAGGATTGTCAATCAAAAATAAACAAAAAATCGCTCTAAAGTAGTAAATGACTGCCAAGATTAGTTAGTATTTGCTGAACGAAGAAACAGCCAAGATAAAAAAAAAAAAAAATCATTAAACTAAAAACGTACTAGGTAATATTTTATTTTTCGCATGTTCTAATTAGAAGAAGTCAACGGCAAAGAAAACATCAGATAGCTTGTAGAAGAGTAGACGACTGATAGATGGGCATCAAAATATCTCTAACAAGAAGTCTCAGGTTATGATTCTATTTAACTACGTGGTGGATAAAAGCATGAATAAAGCCGATAACGAAGAAATGAAGATTTTATGTTTAAAGACTCAGTGCAACATTTGAAATCATTGAAAAACTATTTAACTTATTACTACTTAAATAAAAATTTAAAAAAACAATTTTTTATGAGGCAAAACGCATCTTGAGGAGTTTAAGCATTCCATAAGAACACTTCGTTAAATTATGATATCACAAATTTTTAAAGATGATATAAATCTAATTGATTACTTCTTCATTCAATTTTAGGAGGGCCGGTGAACCCAATCTGAAACCGATGAAAGTTTTCTTGCTGAACTAAAACCAGTTATATGTGATGGTTTACGTCACGTATCTTCAATAAGTCAGCAGAGAGGGGATATTAAACTAGTTCTGGACACTCTATAGAGTAATAAAGACTTGCCTTGAAACTAAGCTGGATATGTACAGAATTAAATGCAGATAAACATGAGAAAATGAATGACTGGGTGTTCGTATTAGATTCATAGTAGATTTTTCAGAATTAGATATGAAAATTCAAGAAAAATATTTGCTTATTAATAAAATGAAAGAGTATGTCAAAGCGTCCATGCAGAAATTAATTAGAGATAGCTGATTACAAATAAAATTTTCTATTTCACAACTATTCTGTTCAATAAAATCCTATCTAAATCCTATCAATGAATTGCTCAAGGTACTGAGCAATGAAAAGTACTCCGAACTGAAAGAAATGTTTGGCAATCAATTTGCAAGAAAATTTCGGATTTTAGATGACGCGAATACAAAAAGAAATTTTCGTTTACAATCTGGAACTGGTACATCTAATGCTCTGGTCTGTTGCAGATGATGAAGATTCAAAATCTGTAACAGACCAGATTATAAAAATAGTCCTTTCTGACAATTGTAAGCTTCGCTATCTTAAGCTTACTGGTAGACTGTCCACTTGTATGAATAATACTAATTGTCACATTAATTCAACAATATTAGGAGCAATGCGCAATTTTGTAATGCCTAATTTTATGATCCATTTCTATAGTTTTGCCATGTATTGTATTTATAGCTAAATGCAAGATAATGCATATTAGTTTATAATTTGAAATGCAAGAATTTAAGGTCATTTCTAATATTTTTCCTTTCATTACATTGTTTTATGAAACAAGTATTAGCCTTCGATAACAAACCTGCATGTAAAGTTTCAGAGTGGCTCCTCACACGAAATGTTTGGACACTCCTTGTGTAGCAGAAGCATTATAACGATATTTAATTCAGTAAGAATAGCCATATTATATGACTATGTTGTATCTATAGGCCAGCAAATGTTCTTCAAACAGTCGTTGGTCTTTACATTTAGCTTAACATAAAATTTTGTTCCTCGATTTCAGATTTAAATTTTTATACTCCTTTTCTGTATATGTGTTATACATCAATCAACACCTAACCCTAATAGTTGATTGAAGGCAAGAAGGAAAATATCAGAAAATATTAAATCGGAAATTTTAAAAAACAACGATTAGTTTGCCGTACATTTTTTTTTTTTTTTCAATAAATACTTCAGTAAATAAGACAAGCATTTACTAATATAGGCTACGTGCATTTGAAACTTTTAAACTTCTGATGGCCTCCATCCTTTGTAACAGTACCTCAAGAAGAAAGTGAGCATTCCAGCATGCATTATTGATTGGACTGGATTGGTTTATTTAGATTATGGGGAAACACACGAAGGCTATCTGACAGAGGGAAAAAGATATCTTCGTAGAGGTCTTTTTTAAAGGAAATGGCTCGTATTCCCCTTACATTTTGGGAAAACCCACAAAATTTCCCCAGCAGCCAGGCCCTTCGCGGGATTTGAGTCCAGGTTGAACAATTAATGTTCAGCAGCTTTACCCGTTGGCTTTTGGTAGATCTCATTTTTATCAAACGAGTTATTCTGTTTACTGAAAGGTCTTGCTTGCTCTATGTGATGATCCTTCTTTCTTTCTTTTTTCCCCATTAATCCAAAACATTTCCATAGTTTTAAAATTTTGTCTATTTTACAGATAAGTAAAGTCTGCATT